CAAATGAGCTTTAGACGGTAGAGTAACCCCCCAAAAATATGCCCTCACAAAGTCGGTGAACCGTCTTTGAGAGGGTAAGGTGGAGTTTTCCGTCATTCATGATTAAATGGGTGGAATCCTGATAGCGTACAGGTTGGAGAAAAGCCGAATCCAACATGAGAAGTGCAACAAGTTTCAGAAATAGGCTACACGCTACAGTCCCGTACAGACCTTTCAGCTCGTCATCCCTTCACGTAAAGTATAGGGCACTTTTGTATCATTTTATACATGATATGTAGACCGCAAAATCAGGTATGTTAAAGAACATCTCAGAACCATCTATGGGAGAGCCACGTTATACTTCGTTACCATTAAGAAAGATCCCCTCAAATACATATCATTTCTTCGGATAATGCGTGACGCCACTTTCGAAAAGCACGATTTAGAACACGCCCTCCCCCCTCAAAAAAAGAAACCGCCACCCCGTGGATTTCAAGAACTCTTCTTAAACTATTATTCTCCATGTCACCGGTTATCCGAAGAGTGCATAACTTCATACTTTGAATATACGAAACGCCATGACAGCGTACTTCTGTTTCACCGTGATGTTGGCATCTACTTTAATGGCTACGAAATCGGTACTTGTAATTCAAGACGATTTTGAATGTCAGAGCACATGACAGAAATCTTCGAGAAGTTGGTATGATATAGGTTTTCTGCTCCCTACGATTGATTGGCGTTGCTTAGAGCATTCTATTATCCCTTCATGCGAGCACCTGACTACACATCAGCAGCAATACAAAGACTATGTTAATGTGTCATACACACGAAGAGTTGGTTGGCTTCTTTTGGCCGGCCCACCAGACTGGAAAACTGTGCAATCAGAACATAGAATAAGTTAGCATTAAACAATAGAGACCAACTCTCTCAACTAGGAGCATTTGACCGTTTTCCTTGAGTGGTCTTTTTCAGTGGCATCACCGCGCACTGGGAGACTTGCCTAAAAATGAGTGTGTTAGGTTGGCAGTACAAGTCCCCTAGAAATAGACGAATGTAGACCATCCCGGTTTGTATGCCAAATGAAGAACTATGATTTGCAGATCTATTGCAGGTCTGTTGCAAAACTACATGTGGATACTGCCTTGTATGATAATACCTAACAACTATTTTGAAGTTATGGGCATGACTATTCAAACCGGCATTTTTATGTACAAAAATGGCTATCAGTTACTTACGGATATGCATAACAGTGAACGTACAGCATTGATTATAATAAAGAGTACTACCTTTGGAATTAATACCATATTAATCGGGTGCCGAAAGATTGGACTTCAAATTATTAACTCTTGAAAGACCCCCTGTGTCTGTTTCTCATTGTATTTTCGGATGCTCTGATCCGTGACAGAAGAGAATTCACATTCGTGGATCTCCTTAGACAGTCATTACAGTTAAACCAACTTTATTAATCTATGAATATCACTGAAAAAGATCGATGAGAAGTGATCTCTTGTAAACTTCCGCATCGTCAAAATGACTTATATATTATGTATAATGTGCTCTTGAGAGGGGCCATTCCAAAGATTGACCAACAGCGACCCTCTCTGCGAGTACTTCGTCTCTGGGAGGTTACCGTAACACATAATCTTGAACTAGGTTGTCTTGATGATACCACATGATGAACATTTGTGGCATCATTTAGTGTTAACTCCAGATGACTTCAGACAGCCTGGATACCAGAGTTATTTTTCACTGAACAGGACGCCCACAGCGGAATTAAAATACTCGCAACCAACCCATCGCTCAGCACCACCACGCTTTCTAACAACGCACTGATGATGTCAGTTCGATTGGTGATGAAAAGCTTGCAGCGCCAAAGAGCCCAGCTCAGTGGATAAGCCAACGACCGTACTTGCAACAAAATCGCGCATACCTTTGAATCCATACAACGGATTCTGCTGCAATCCTGACTGTCGTTTCTAAAGAGCTGATCACTCTTAGGAGTTTGGCCAACTGGTAACAGCGTCCACTGACGATAAAGGTCACCGTTACATTGCAGGTCTTATAAAGATGGATGATAATATCACTGAACTAGCTTGTGTTAGCCGTCTAATTATTATAAAAATTTAACATACAAGGGTCTTGGCTTTTTGCACTGCCAAGACACGGTGTTGTCTTCCAGCAGATACCTCCTCGCGCCAAGCGGGAACAAGTGGACCTTTCCCTGCGAGTGACCTTTGCTGGCTGAAACTACTGGAAATCCTCAAGTTTCTGGTAAGCAAAAGCAATTTAATTATACATATAACATCTAGTTACTGCATCCAAGCGAGTCACGAATAAACCGTTGATGGTACAGTTGAACCGTCAACGCAATTAAGAGATAAAGTTACAAGTCATGCGGCATAGGACAAGAGTTTTCAAAAAGTTGTATTGACATTGGTTGCGGGTGTTTGGTAATTGTTCCTTCCCTTTTGAACCAACTGTGAGGCTGAGAAATTCCACCCTAGCTTAATTGGTAGAGAGCTTGTCCAGTGAGTGAAAAGTTACCGGTAGTAGGCTGCCTGTCAGCCTCGATTACTTTGTCGTTCATGAGTCGTATGAGGACAAAAAACTACCCACCAAATCAGCTGGTTCAATTAAATGGACCTGTATTCATAAGAACCTGTTATTCAGAGCACAACAAAATCCCACGTCAGTCATAGCCCGATGGTTTGTACCACATCCGCTGGAACATATCCGGTCAATAGGTATAAGCTGGTGGCTGATGCGAGCGCAAATTTCCTGTTCATGCCCAGCAGAATGTTGCATCAACAATATAAAAGCTTCCGATGTGTCGAAAATTTCAAGGCTCCGTTGTGCGCATTGCCCAAATGAAATAAAACACGTAAAATTTTCATAGAACTTTAAACGCGTATAAGTTTCTTGAACCATTTTTCAACGATATACAGTCGTTGCTTAGGCGGAATAGAGTAACAGTATACCGCATGAACTTTATTAAGCCTTCTTAAAAATTAGTTTGGGCAATTAAGTTTACTTACCCTGAGTTGAACATTCATCTCATCCATATTTGGGACCGTTAAAAATGCAAAGCCGACGAGAGAATGAAAGAGTCATCTTTCTGGAAAAGCTCGAACAGTCAGCTGTGTGTGGTAGTTTAACGGTGTTTTCTACTCAAGCAGCCTGTGTCACAAAACCGGTGTCGAATGAATGCTAGAACAAAAACTTCTCGGATAGAAGGGCCTGAGGAGTCTGGGATGCTCTCTTTCCTTCTCCAGTACACAGTAACACAAATAATTTGTGAGCAAGTCGCAACTAGAATGAGACACCTTTAGAGCACTGTGAAGCATTTTCTCACAGGTTGATGTTAAGGAAAGACTTAACTGAATCTCTGCTGCATCTCTGAACCACACAAACTCAATTCGCAAATGATAGCATTTTGTCAGTTGCGTACAGTTTAAAAAATGTGATCGAACTGATGGAAACCCAAGGACTGCGCCTGCCTGATGAGCCCCAAGATAGGCAACATCGGTCATGGGCTTTCGAAATGTTTACAGCAACCTTAGAAGTAGTGTCATGTCATCAACAGTTTCGCATACACCTACGACTTCTGAACTAAACCAAACTAATCCCATCAGACAGAACTCTAAGTTACGCTGCATGGCAAAGTGTTCTGCGCATGGTTGCATGCGAGTCTGAAAAGGATCGAACTAGGCTCATTACCTCGCATACTTTATGCACTAAATCCAAAATATGAGCCAATGTAAGCAATCTGTATCAGCAATCGTCCCCTTTAGAAAAACTTGCGTTTTCTGGGAACTTGACACTTGCTCTGGGTCACTCTTCACTGACGAGGTGAACGGCTTGTATCTACCTTACCTCAAATCTCTGCAATAATGGAAGAATACTGCTTTCCTTATGGAAAATTTACACAATCAACTACTTTAGAATAGATTCCAGGTGACTCAGTTGTCAAAACCTAATTGGGGAGCAGGTGAATGTATGCTCGAACAGCAATGCAAAGCCGAGGAGTATTCGGTCAGTTCAGGCTGCAGAAACGAGATTAAACGTAAAATAAATTGGTAAGAACGTGGGGGCGCAGAATACAGCGATATTTAACTTGGCATAGCTAGCGTCCATTAGACCGAGTAGTTAAATTCTGTCATGATTCTGGAAAAAAGGGAATGAAATCTATAGATATATACTTCCTTAGTGAAGAATTCATCCTGTAAGTAAATCATATCCAGGTTAAAAGGCCAAGGAGCACAGTACGGCTGTTTTATTCTTACTGGGAATCGTCAGTAGTACGCATTCCACCAAACTCAAGTAAGCTGTAACAACACGGCTGGTATTTTGAACAGTTGAACAGTGATTCTCAATAAAGATGAAACTGCAGAGATTGGATTTACTCGTAGGACGAAATTTCTACTAGAAAATCCCGAAGTCTTCTCACACTACCATAAAATATGGATTTCACCCAACTCATGAAGTTTTCCCGTCCTAGAAAGCTGAAAATCTAGGTCCATCTGTTGTTTTCTCGTTACCAATATTGAACAGTGCGCCATACTAATCTATGAGAAGCCTTTGGCACACAACTCCCTGACAGACCTCCCAAAATTCAGTCGCAACATCAAAAAAACTATGATATCTGAGAGAGGTTTTACTATATGAGTAGTGGAGATGTTTCCCCTCATGAAAACAGATGCGGCTAAAAAGGACAGAACCAACAGGTGTTCCCCACTTCTTATGATTTGCGCCATTTCGTAGCCCGAGATAATGATTGGGCACAATGGAACTCGCTTCGCCGAACAAGCGAGTGTTCGTGAGAAGTCGGAGGTCTAATAATAGAGGTCTTTGTAGGCTGTCATTTTTCAACTTGACGGTGTATTAATTGGTCTTGCGTTTTGCAACTAAGTAACAAAGGTTGGTTAGCTGCGAATCCTCAACGCATGCCGCCGTGAGGTCGTTTGAAAACATATCCTAATGATAGTCATAACTTCGTCCTTTTGCACAGTTAAGACGGCCGGATACTGAGAAACTTTTGCTGGAAAACAGAAGCACCCAGGCAATAAGACCATGCCAAAACAGCTTGGGGTAATCACTGAAAGCACGATAGGAACAGGGCTGTCTGCTTTGCCTGCACCGGTGTGCATTTTCACTATAGTATGGGACTACCGATCACGATAGATATTCAGTAAACACCGGATCAAGATAGTCCACGTTTATGGATATGGGATATTGTCACCACTGCTTACGCATGTTACACAATCTGGCAAAGAATGATTAGGCACGACCGGTTCATCGAAGTTAGACTTTCCGAACTGTGAATCGAACTGATCTTAACTAGATAACTAGATAGATGGTCTGGTGACATGACACAAGGGGTCAAACTCCCACGAGGAAATTCGGGTATTAGCCTCAGATGTTTGTGAAGGGTATGAGCACGATTCCCGACAAAGTCCGCCCACCTTCGTGCTCCTTCAAATGACTAGAAGCGAGTTTAAATCGATCTCATACACCACAGCTCATGCCGTCCTCTTTGCAAATACGCTAAGTCAGGTTTATGAGGTCGTTTGTTGGTTTTTAAATTTACTCACCAGTTGTTACACATTTGACAATATTCGATCACCACAATCAGATAAAAACATTATAATCCACAAAGCCGTGTGCAACAAAAGAATGTGACTTTTCCACATTCCAGATTACTAAACAAGCTAGTCTTACCATCCCATCAAGGAAATTTGATACAGTTCTGAAAACCACTAACACAACACAAAACCTAGTTTTGTGTCAAAGAAACTTGATGCAGTCTATGAGGGAGTACCGCAACACTTGCAGGCTTTAAATTCGAATTAATCCCTAAAATCCATTAATTCCAGTGTTTTTAACCTAACAGATGGGAAGCATTATAAGCTAGTAGCCAGACAAACCAATCTACTCATTTTCGCGCCTTCTGTTTTCCCTTGTGACACGTCATGGCTAGCGTGTTGCATGCTGGAACCCGTTTTCGGGGATTGTTTCTCTGTCTGCGAACTGATAATTAGCTCTCGTCGGTAGCAGCTCAACGGCCATCGCACGTGTTTCTCTGTTAGAGAAGAACTACAGCTCGTTAGTCTCACGCGTATCCCATGGCATGGTGTTTATCGGACCCAACACCCTACCCCCTGTTCACATCACTTCGCGCAACGTCTGTGTATTCGTTGTTTGAGTCCTGAAAGGAAACGAGATAGCGCACTAATTAACTTGACTCCGAAAAGAGAAAAGATCTTGGTGGACCGACACACACACACACACGCACAGGCGTACAAACACCTTGTGGGTATTTGCGCACGCACATGTTTATATCAACTCAGATGTTGTCGGTGTGTCAGACTTGTTATGGACAAGCTCAGGGAACGGCCGAAAAGCGAGTGGATCTGAAGTGTACCGGGGGCTTTTAATTCACGCGCAAACTATTTCAGTCACACCGGCATAGCTTTTGATATGGTCCGGAAAAGGAAACACAGAATTAGTGTAGTGTGTTCATTAAAACAGTCCCGAAGCATTTTCACATCCAGAACTTTTGTTAAATCTGATGAGGTGAATCCCGGGCTTTGTCTCCAGACACGCAGGATGGGTTGATGAAACTAGTCCCCTAATCGCTAGGTCTGCTTCCACAGATTTGTGTTATTCTCTTTCAGTAACCATTTGGCTGTTTTCCAAGAGAGTAGAGTGCGAACTTATACTAATCCTACTCACATTGACGCGGAATCTCAAGTTAATTACAGAAGAGTTTCGATACTATTGCAGACGCCTCTGAATATTTCATTTCTTTTTGTACACCGCCGTTCGGGGTATCCAGTGGACATTTACAACCAAATGACGACCGAAAATCTACAGCTTGTTAAATGCTTGTCTACGCCTTTACTCTTGCTTTCATGCCGGACGAATAAGACTGGTTTCCGAATAAAACTGGCAAACCTGATGCTGAGGTAATTACGTATGTATATGGCTGCTTGGAAGATATTACAATCAAGCAGTCCCGTTAGGCAGGAATTGGTTTGCGAACAGTCTAAAATTCCGAAGCCCTCTGAGAGTTTCATCGCTCGGTTTGAAGTTCGCCACCACTAGTTGCTTAGAAAAGTTACGCATGCTCACTTTAGCTGTTTCAAACAGTTTCGACTGAGTTTTATTTGGTGATGGTGCCCACCGCACTAGAGCGAGAACTTAGCTCCGTAAATTAGCATGAGAATAGTATCCTCTACAGTGAATTCATCAAGATGGGAGTTAGTGATTTGCACAGTAGCGAGACAAGTGAGTTGCTGACAACGTGTTCAATGGCTGTCTGTTTAGTGATATGCACAGTGGCGAGACAAGTGAGTTGCTGACAACGTGTTATTGGATACCCCAACGACGCCCATTATCAGAGAGAGCGGATTGTGGTCAAAAACTCACAAAAACGTTCACATGTTGCTGGTACATAGGGAATCTACCATCACTAGATGCAAACGACTGGTTCAGTCGATGCGACTGTTACACTTGCAGAGTCAGTTCAGTCTAGTCAGTCTCACTTGTTTCGTACGGTGCACAGTGGCTGGTTTGGGAACCAATCTTAAATCTGACTTTTTCCTCTCCAGCCACCGAAGGATATCGTCCTTCTTTTATTGCTCCTGACCCTCTCTCATGCGACGGACGACGATGGCCTCGGAAATGGCCTTGTATATCTAGTAAAGTACGTATTTTGCAAACAAATTTGGTGTCTACGGAAGACTTAGCCACATTCCAGTTGATTCTCTCGCTTATGATATTTTTTCAGCTAAGCGTGTATATAAAGGCCACTTAGTAATTCCATTGATACGATATTCCGGATATCGGAGTATATTTTCTTAAAGGAAGACTTCTCCTAAGTCGGTTGGAAACCCCTAAACAGCTCGGTTACTCCTTTCTTGTAGTTCATCAGACAGATGCAATCCTCGACTTTCTGTCAAAAATTTTGGAAACTGATCTGGCTATAACGAGTGATTTATCTGAATTCTAGCTGAATCCCTGCTTTAGGCCACACTGTTATTGACTGTGTCTACCTGATGTGTCCCCGGGATAAATGAACTATGTAGTGAGCGTGGAAGAGTCTTCAGCAACTATATAGTCAGTTGTTCTGATTCATCTCTAGCTGAATCCCTGCTTTAGGTCATACTGTAACTGACTGTGTCTACCTGATGTGTCCCCGGGATAAATGAACTATGTAGTGTAGTTCGAAGAGTCTTCAGCAACTATATAGTCAGTTGTTCGTCAAGAAAATATACTGGGATATCCCAGTTAGCCCCCCAACTGATACATCAGATGGCATATTTGTAGCACATTACGTTGGAGACTATCATGAACGAAAAGTTCAGCTGGGACTCCCGTTAAAACCAAATGAGTGTGCAAACGAATTTAGTTTGTGAATCGAGTACGGTTTGGTTTCTGACATAACGCAAGACAGGCAGCTGCCACACCGTAAAAAACACTTTCACAACACAGCAGAGGATTGTGAATATATCTAATCAGTCCAGCGAACGGGATCCCTTTCAGTATATCTCTCGATGCAATCGGTCATTTTACTTAAGTTGCTTCGCACTACAGAGGTCTGAAAAGACGGCGTTTCTCGTATCTTTTATTGTATGACGGCTACTCTTTTCAAGGACAGCGGTGGACACCTCAGCCAGTGCTTGTTTAGCCTGTTTGAATCTATCTGGGAGAAGCAGGCCGTCCCAGACAACTGCGGTGAATCGACAGTAGTGCCCATTTTCAAAAAGGATACTCGCAGTGAATTTAGCAACCACAGAGGTGTTAGCTTGACGCCTGTTGTGACAAGGCTTCTGGTTTCACTGATTTTTCGTCGTCTTACGGTGGCATGCGAACACTGAATCGTGAAAATCAGGCGGGATTTCGATCGGGTAGAGGCTGCGTTGACCACATCTTCACACCTCGTCAAGTGTTAGAGCGACGCCACATGTACAGACGACCCACAATCTTGGTATTCCTCGAC